TAATATTATTAAGGATGTCAAGGGAAGAAAACATGATACCGTAAAAGATGAATACACAATATAGGATCATGGCCCAGAGAAGGTCAAATAAGACGAGGAGGGAATAGAGGGCATAAACATGACAGGTAGTGTCTAATCAGGTGCATCAGGGACGCAAACATCCTGTTTTCTTTTTTAAAGGAGACTCCGTAAACGATACATTCACAAAGTCTACAAACTCTTTCTCAAAAAGAAGCAAAACGTCAAACATCAAATATCAACAGCAGTTGGGTTGCGAGACGATCGAGAGGAATAGCTCCTTCAATTGACAATTGTGGAAGAAATCATTGAGTCGACAGAATGGTGTACGTGGGGGCGGGGAGCTTTTCGCATCCCTTGCAGGAATCCAGATCAAGCACGAAGACGAATCCGAGAAGATTGCCTCCAAGCTTTTTAACAAGAGCTCCAGCTGCGGCTGCAGATCCGCCTGAACAGAGTTATATGCGTTAGCGGCGTTATTCCAAGGTTGTGTGGTATAATGGTTGTTCAAACAATGACCCGTACAACGAAGACATAACAAGACAAGAGAAAGGGAGCACAATGCATACCTGTTGCAATAATGTCATCTACCACAACTACTTTCTTTCCCGGCTTGATAGAATCCGACTGTATCTGGAAGCAATCCTGACCATATTCCTTCTGATATGTCTCTGTCTCAACCGGACCTGGTAGCTTGCCCTTCTTCCTAACGGGCACGAACGCAGCCCCCAACCTCAACGCGAGGGAAGGGCCAAACAAGAACCCTCTGGCTTCCAAACCAACAATGACATCAGGCTTCTGGTCTTCACCGTATGTTTCGAGGATGTGCAGTTCTAAACATCTTATCAGGGCTTCGTGGAGAGAAACATCCGCGAAGATAGGGAGGATGTCTTCGAACAAGATGCCTTTGGAAGGGAAGTCCTGGAATTGGCGGAGGGCACCGCGAAGCTTTATCTTAAGACTGGAGAGTTCGGTGGTGGCGGAGGGATTGGTGGAGGGGTGTCCGGAGACCTGGGTGGTGGTGGCATCGCTATGATGGGATGTCGGATGGTTAGAGGGAGGGTCACTCATGCTTGATGAAGGGAGAGCCGAAGGGGAAGAAGGAGAAAAGAAGATGAGAGAAGAAGAGAGGAGAAAAAAGAAGATGTTGAAGAGGCAGATTTGCTGATTAGTCGTTAATTAGTTGTTGGGATGTGCACAATCACAGTGACAGATGATATGATCAAATAAAAATTCGCAGTAATAGAACACAGTTAAGAAAATGAAAATTAAGGGGATAAAATCCTCTTTAAAACCTTAAATCCTTTCTATCCCCGTCCATCATTCAGACCCCAAGATTAAGTGGAACAGTTTGGATTACAAGGTCCCGCTGTCCTACTCCCCGCCAACCCATTCGGAGGTGCAGATGGCATACGTGTCGGACAGAAGTATGGGATGGGATGGCACAGCACAGTATTGGATGCTCGTCCTTTGGTCTCACCATCACGCAAAACCACATATGGTGCCTTGGTTCTTGGTTTGGTGCAGCAGTCAGGATACAGAGAGGATGGATAAATTATACTGCCCCATATGACTTATAAAGATTTCCTAATAGTTAACTAAATATATGATCTGTCATAAGAATCTTGATGTAAAACACAAAAAACAGTTAACTAACTACATACATTTCACAATTTCACAATAAAAGGACAACAGCTGCCAAGGTATGAGTGGCCCTTTCATAACTATCTGTATTTTCTTTTGGAGGGTTATTTTCAACTGATTTATCTAACGGCTTAACCACTGGCTCCTGATACGAATTTCCAGTTATCAATATACATGCGGGATCTTCATTCATCCCGCCAGAGTTATCTCTTCCCCACTTTAAAACGGGACAAGCGAGGAATTCGACAAATGGACAGGAACAAATACATCCTTGAAGGGGTGAGAATGTGGGTTCCCAAAACCATAACTACCCTCATGGATCTGTCAAATTACTACGGAGTAATAACTTCCTAGGTAACTATCTGGGGATTTTGTTTATTATTATTAAACTCCAACTTGTTGGACCCAAATAAATATCTCACTTCACCTTACCTAGGTACTTTTCATTATCGCTAGTAACTTACTCCTGATTCATTGAGACGACACCACCTTTCCGCTGCATTAGCCCAACTCTTCCATGCGTTAGGGATGGAATGAACATACAGTTGATGAAATTCTTCATTCTCAGCCTATAACCTCCGTCCTCATCAATCGCAGACCAGTGGTCCAACCAGGGTCCCACGATGATATCCTTGCAAGTGGACTAAGCCAGCCACCATTCGCGCAGTCCAAAGCGAATACTCCCCACCTCTGTGTCCGATAACAGTGTAAAACATGACAGGGGAAAAGGCCGAGTTTGTTCTCTAATTTTCTGCTCGTTGATCTATTGTTAAGTACAGATGTAGAATTAGTCTGTTTATTTTTCTCGCAAGGTAAGACAAACAGCTGGACTTGTGATATAACTTAACTAGTTATATATAAGAGGTTAAATGTTGGTCACTTGAAAAGCATACTTCGCGGTATCTGCTTTACCCGTGGCAAACAAATCATTTTCTTTCATTACTGGAGTTTCACGAACAAAAATACTTCTATAGATTTGTTCTGGCTTCATATTCAGCATAGATAGTCCTCTCTTAGTTATGAATTCTTGAATCATCCCATGCAATGATATCCATACTAATGACATCTCAATCATCACGAACTTCAAAATAAAACTCTTTGCGGCCATGTGCTGTTTATTATTCAGGATGTTAATTTTACAAAAAATTACGAGCTATAATGAGGAGACAACCTGTCTCCTCCGAGTTAATATTGTGGGGGAAACCGGCTGCTGGTACTCCGCATTATTGGGCACCCGGTTCGGTAGGGGATACTTCTCTTGCTTAACTGCCACCTTCAAAAGCTCTCCCCATCCAGTAGTTAACCAGCTGGAGGGTAGAAAATAAACCATGCATGCAGCAATCCTGTTTTGATGACTTGTCAAACCCTGGAATGAGAACTGGTGTGAACCTTTTTTTTTTTTCTTTTTTTTTTTTTTTTTTCCTTTGCATGGAATGATGTTATTTCTTTGACGAACAAAACTAAATGCCGCCCAACGTATCACTGACACTGGTAGGGCTAGATAGTTCTGTTTGTTGATTCACTGGGACACTGAGAGCATATTTCGGACAAGAAACTCTTGTAATGGGTAGTTATAGTTAAACAATCTTGCTATGCGAGACTCAACTATTTTCTCTGCTCTCCCCCACAAACCACACCCCATACGCCGCGCGTGGGAAACATTCCCTGTATAATTCATCAGGATTACTTGTGTGTCCTTCCCTTTTCCCATTTCCTGTTTCATTTCTATTCTTCCCTTTTGTCAAATATGTCACACATATGGATAGGGGTAGCACAGCGTACCTGACTGGTAGTTGAACTGTTGCACTCTTATGATATAAGTGTTTTCTCTTCCATATGCAGATTGTAGTTATCACGGCATTCACTGTTTGTGATTTAGGAAAACGGGAATACTAACACTTGTAGATTAACTCTAATCTCTTCCCTCTCACTCTGCTTCTTCCATTCTCCTTCCGTAAAAATTGATTCTCTGATGCAAACCTCTATGCTGTGTTTAGCTGTACTTGGGGACTTCTCGACTCCGCCATGATGACAATTAACAATAAACATAAACTCAACGTTTTACCACACGGAGCTCCTTCATTCCACTTCCTCTGGGCATAAGGGTTTTATAATGCAGACCGGATCATCTGGATTGGGAGGTGATGTACTGCTGACCTGGGAAATCGTTCATGTGGTGAGAAGTAGGGTAAAACATGTGTAGGATAAATGTAGTCACATGTAGCAGAACTCCGGATGGTTCCCCTGGCAAATATAGGAAAGATGTTGGATAAGATAAATGACAATTCAACTTCTCAAAAAGAATATTGATGTGATTAGGCAGCATTTGAGATGAAGGAACCAGTTTCGTCAGGCTTGGGGGCTCTAGGTAGAGCACTTAGGGCTTCACAAATCACGTGTAATCCCTTCCCAAATACTGAGCCATACGTCATGTTTCAGGAACAAAATCCCTTTGTAAAAGGGGGAGAAAAGATTTTAAGTGAGGGGTTAAAAACATGGCAGCTTTGAAAAGAGCACTATTGGGAAGATGGAATGTTAATAGCTCAGCACTAGTCTGTGCCTTGCAGAGTTAGGTAGCTGCATTCACGCCATATCGTCAGCATGGACAGAGGGAAACAAGTAGATAAATCGGGGAATTGGCAGGGCCACTATCTAGTAAAGCAGGAATAGCAGCTTCGCTGACTGACCTCGGGTGCAGACGAGAATCTGCAACATACGGGATGGGGGATTTGGAAAGGCCTGTCCAGATGGGTATGTGGAGAAGGTATAGTGGACAGACCAACGGAAGCAACATCGTCAGGGGCACAATGAGGAAATGACAACCAGTTCCAAGGTTTACTGCGTCAAATCACTCCCATTTGGAAGAAAGAAAAGAGTGAGAGATGGAATGGAGGAGTTGGCCCATGGAACAGTCTAACAGACGAATCCATGTCGAGCTATTAGATCTTGGAAGACGTAATAACATGTTGGAGATTCCTTTGCATAGCTGGCACAGTTGGGATCTGTTGGGTCAAATTAGAGCCACGACCTCATAATGCGAACTCGAATTGACTGAAAAGAGTTGAAGGAAACTCAAGGCCGGAATGCGCAGCTCGTAAGCGAGCGGGGAAGATCTAATTGGCTGCGGCGACGGGATATCACATCGAGGAGGCTTATAACCCATGCCATTCCCCCCCATTGAACATCTCACCATTCAAATCACCTTTCTGAGCACAATGTTTAACATCCCTCACCATATGTAAATTCATCCCAAAAATCGCAAAAAATCACACCCCGAGACTCGGCTTTCAGTCCTGCAACCAGTTCGTCACTAAATTAGTGGCTGACCCCCTGAAACCATGTCGTCGCCATCCCTTGACGTGGGCAAGGTCAAAGATGATGAACAGTTCATATCATTCGGCTTCCACGGTCGCATATCGTATGATTTCGAACTTTTCCCGCCATTCAAGCATTTGGATATCGAGCGAATCACCGTTGACAAGACAGGTTAGAATCACGTGATATACGGACGTCAAACCCAAGCCTTAACCCCTCAACACCCGGGATTTTCCACGTCCTCCACAAATGATTGCAAACAAGAAGAAACAGACCCGCTTCGGGGGCTAGATTCTCTTCGTAAGAATCCACCGACTGGAAAGAAAGGCCAGCAGCTTATCCAAACTGTCCAACAGGGCACAAACGGGAAACTGAAAACGACCTGGGCAAGCCAGGGCAAACCAAACGCCATAGCCCAGGAAATAATGAGAGAGTGGTCAGCCGGGCCTAAGGCTATTCCAAAAGCTCCTCTTCCGACGCGGCTGCCGACACCAGATTTATCGAACTGCCGGCCATGTTTGGGTTGACCTTTGTACGGAGTAGAAAACCCGGGGGAATCGAACCGAATCCATACGGTTGATTCAATCTGATAATAATGAATAGACGTCTCCACAGCCGTGAAATGTCAGCCTTTGTCAGCTAGATTGGCAAGACATAACAAGGTTGGAAATTATATGGAATTTTTGGAGATTTGGGTAGCCTGGAGTTATATGGATTTTAAGGGACCAGACTTATTGATATCACTGCTGATGATACACATAACATTTAAAGTACCAAATACAGAAGAAGGACTTACCAACTCATGATTTTTAATGCTGATACTGAAGTGTTTTGTATATCGTTAAGGGCAGTGATGTTAGTTTCGAAGTTGATGATTTTAGCCAGTAAGGTTGGCGTTGGCAAATAAGAAATCACGTGAAGTTTAGTGATGCACGGACCAGGCCGCTTAATGAGTCCTTTGATCGAGTGACTACTGATATTAAATTCAACAGCGTCTTTTTTTGTGTTCTCTACTCTTTGCTTCATTCCTTTTCTTTCATATTCCCTGTAAACCTGATTTCCTCCAGAAAGACATTCAGATATGATGCATCAGTGTCGTTAAATTGGGGATTTGTTTCATACCTTGTGCTGTCTATCCTGCTTTTACCTTCATTGCTAGGATCCTGTAGCATGTCCCCTGCTCGAATCGCAGAGGAATCCGAGCAAGACAAACAAATCTTAGCTCTTGCCAGAGGCTTTGATACTCTTATTGAAACCATTCAGAAACTGACATGGCAGGAAAGGGAGTTACGGAGCAAACTGCAGTTTGCTCATGATGAGGTACGTTGTTACTCTTTCTCTGCTTCGAAATTTCCGTTCCCTCAATGCCTTGTGATGAGAAAACCTTTGATTAGCTCTAGATCAGTAGCTGCTTCTATGCGGCAGTGACCGATTCAATTTGCATGTATTAGCTGATATGGCATTACCTTATTCTCTACTCACTCTTTACACCACAACTACCCAATTGGCATTATCTAATGTTGTGATCAACAGTACCTGAAGCTCGCCGATCAGCTCCCTAATCGATCAGCTTCTAGAACAGAAGTAGCGGAGAAGATTTTACCCCTACCATTCCAAAAAAACAACTACGACGTATCTACAGATACCACTGGGTGGATCTACGACGTAGAAAAGGCTGGCTACCTTGCAGCTCTAGAGTTCGAGGCAATTGCCAAAGGACTTGACGCGTACAGAAGTTTGGCTGATAGACGGACCAGACGGGACATACGGGATGGGCATCATCAAAATGCAAATACATGTCTTGTTGCGGTGGATGCCAAAGCTAGGTCTTCTATTGAGCGTGATTTCACAACCAACGGAGTGCGGGGGAATCTTCAGTGTCCATTTGCCATTCCAAATGGCCATGGGGTTACCCCTTCCACCTTGGCGAACGGGAATTTAGACTCTTGTGCGCAAGTTCTTGACCCTATCAGGGCTGAATCTCTCCAGGGTACACACTCTGCTTCGGTTCGGGATGCTGTTCCCAGATGTCCAATTAGATATCTAGATGACCACTCTCCAGAGGAAGTGGCAAAATATTTCCAAAACCACAAGCATGAGATACCTCGAAGCCACGCTATTTGTATCCAGCGTTATCAAAAAGATTCGCAGAGCATCCGCCAACTCGACGAGAAATATGGTGACATGGTCAATATGATCAAGGGACTAGGGCTTTATCATCAACCGTATCTTCCCTCAACCGAAGAGCATAGTAGGCCGGGTGGCACGGAGTCTGTTTCTGTTGGAAGGGTAGAAAAGTGGGCTGAAGATGTTAGCGCTAAGTCTTCAAAATTAGAAGAGGTCATGTCACCTTCCCATGAAAGAGGGAACGGTGAGGTGGAGGAAAGACGCAGTTATTTCGAACGACCTCTGAGAGATGTTCGAGTAGGCGAGTCACCTAGTAGGCCGTGGGGAATCCATGTTCCAGTTTCTCAAGAAGTCGCTCAGAGTTCCATTGTTTCCCTAAACGCACCTACGGGTGCAGATTATGAGAAGACTGCTCCGGATATCTCATCCATCTCAACTCCAATTCCCAGGAAATCGAAAACGTCACTGCCTGCGGGCCGTTGTCCATTCCATACTCTTGCGCCTAAAGAAGTCCCTCCGGGCGCTACAGCGTTTCCTGGCTCTTTGGCAGCTAATTTAGAAAAACAGGAAAGCCCTGAGCTTCAACCACCCAACTTCCCAAATACTCCACTCAATCCTCATGAAACCAGATCTCCTCCGTCCCCTCCTGTGCAACCGAAGATGGTGTTTCAAGGGCCTGTGTTTTTTGGTTATTCGGCGGAACAAGCTGCTACGCTCATCCAGAAACTTGGCCATTCTAGCGGGCTGAAATGACAGACTGTACAGTTATCTTTTCGTACTATTTGCCGTTATTCGACATCAGATTTTTTCTGTATTACATACACATCCACTGTCGCGTTTTTTTAGCGTTTGATGCATTATATTTCACCGTTTCACAGCAGGCTGCAGCCTGAGCATATTTCATGAAGTCAATAATTTTGATGGCAATTTGCTACCTACCACGAACCAGCTGCATGATTTATCGGTTTGCTTCACCCCGCGAACTAAATCCACCTCCATCCTTCCCGAATGCACTATCAACCTCTTGTGCAAATGAAATACATGTACTGAAACCATATCAGAGTCACTTATTAATCTTCTACAACTTTGAATACTCCCTGAATCAATTCATTGTAAATGAATTTTATATCACTGATGCATATCCACTATTTCGGGTAGTTATATTAATCCAAAAAGCCATCTCTAGGGTTATATCTAACCATCCATTGTGGCTCCAATCAATAGTAGAGACTGCACACTCACAAACATACCTGGAGTAAACTATACAATTTGCGACCAACAATCTGACACTTTTCAACTACGACACACAACGTTCACATTTTCTCTGCTGCTATTCTAAATGTGCAGATTTGGTGCATCATTTCTGTTCTACACCCAATTTTCAAGTTCCAATCCCCCAGTTTGAAATACCTAATAACAGTTCAAGTCCCGCCAGCAGTGTAAATAATAATTTCTTGACATTTGCGGAATACACCGTATTCAACCTTAACACCAGCACTCCACCCTGTGTTCCCTGTGATCGCTGTGCCAATACTTCCATAGGTATATAACAGCTCCTAGCGCGAGACAATCTTTTGCATGTTTCGCTTCCCTATCTCACGGAGCTTCTTACCATACAGATATATCTATATATGATCGGTTAGCACAAGGATCTCAAAAATTTCCATTCACAAGGGGGCTTACGAACAAGTGGGAGGAACGGAACACCAAGACCCAGCGATAAGAATGCTAGTAATCCTGCACCCCAGTCAACCCCCAGGGTTTCAAAGAGGCGCGAGCCGAAAAGTGGAAATACTAGAAGAGCAATTTAGAGTTGGATATATGACTATTTCTGGGGCCATGAATGGACGTTGGAATGATACTTGCCTCCGGCGAAGACAAAACGGAGAAAAGATACTGCGCGAGCTTAGCATATAAAGCATTTTTAATCTGGAAATGTATAACTTGCATGTGGCCACAGCTGAAGCAGGGTAAGCGAAACAGTCCACAATGTAAAGCTGGATTGCCATCTAAATATTCTAGGTTAGCCTTACATTTCTTTATGGTACAGGCACTGGGGTATCCTCCTACAAATATATTCATTGCTCCAGCAGCGAAGACTACGAAGCCAACTAGTGGCTTTGAGGTTGTTAAATAAGTCAAGCATTCTAATAAACATGTAACTTTCAAGAAGTATAGGTAGGAATCGGGCTGCAGGCAAATAAATGTGAACTCACCACGATGAAGTGATATTTTAGTGCAGAAAACCCATAGAGGAATAAACCGGCTACTAGCAAAAGAGCCCCGGGAAAAGCAGGCACCAATCTAGTATATTGTACACATTAGTTGATTTGCAAACATTACCAATGAAGAATGTGACCCTGGTACCTGGACTCTGGGTTGTATATATGATCGGGGCGAGTCTGGCGTTTGTAAATAATCCGATGTGCTTTAACAGTCGCAACCAGACCTATCATATTTCCAACCCCCTGGGCAAGGAGATCAACGCCGACAAATCCAGCAGAGTGGCCATAGCCTTCCCCGAAGATTTCTGGAAACTATATGTTTGGATGAGGTCAGTTTTATACACTCAAGGCTGGTAAGAGTGAGCACTCTCTGCATACTGTTACAATAAGAAGATATACTTCCCCAAACACCGACGAGAAGTACAATGAGAGTAAAAGTAGAACAGGATCAACAAGTAAGTACATGACCGGGCGAATAGCAGATGAGATAAGTGTCCCTTTTCTCGGCACACTCTCCAGGCGTAAATCCATTACGGTATACAACTCCCTCTGTGGGCATAATCGTCTATTTTTGAGAAGTTTCCGCTCAAGAAGTACTGGAGCATATGACTCTCTCATGTACAAAAGGGCTGCAATCTGTAAGAATGCAGCAGCCGTGGCCTGACCCGGTATTAGCAATGACAAAAGAGCTGCGGGAAGATTATCCTTACCGGAACCCAACAGGTCCATCTCCACGAAGCTCGCTCGGAGATCCAACCACCACAGGCTGGGCCAACAACAGGCCCTAAAATTCTGGGTGGTATCAGAATAGAATACCTACATATTCATTGGACGTAGGAACTCACAGTAAGGTGGACATCAAGGCAGAAGCCTTAGTTCGTTCTTCTAGGTCCCAAATATCTGCAAGAACGCCGCCAAAAACCGCCAGCCCACCAGAGCCTCCAACTCCAGCAAAGAAACGGCACACAGAAAGTTGAACTGCCTGCCTCCTAGTTAGCCAGCCCAATGACAACATATTTCTGTGGGGCTCCAGGAGGAGTTTACATTTTGGGCGAAACCGGCTCCCAAAGAGAAGGCAATAAACGCTACATTGCCTAGACTAACGACGATGGTTCTTCCGTAAATCTCACTCAGAGGGGCAGCAAAAAGAGGACCAAGGGAAAATGCAAAAACAAAAATGGAGATTTGGACGGCACCTAGAGTGGGATTTTTTATGCCAAGGTCGGCCATCACGAGGAGCAGTGCCGGAGCGAATATGGTACCTGGAGTTGTATAAGAGAAATCCGTTCAATAAACAGAAATTGTGAAGCTAACTGGAGAAAGTAGGTAGAAAACAATACCCCCCCGTTAGGGCTGTAGTCACCCACTTGGCATTTCGGGACCAATTCTATCTCAAGTTAAAAGTGCCTGATACAGCAGAATATTCTGCGGAAACATATAGGGGTTGATACACGAGGGTTTTCCGTGGAGTCTGGATTTAGAGTGACCAGATCTTACAAGCCCAAAATTAGCCTGTACTGGGTTGAACGATAGATTATCAAACAGCAGAGTAACATACCTGGATCCAATTCGCGCAAACCTGCGCCATCGAAGAAAACTTTGTCAGGACTGGCTTCTCGAAAGTTCAATTCTTCTAGGTATCGTGTTGTGACCAAGTCCTTCCGGGTATTTTTGGGTTCATTGGAGATGCTCGGACGATCTCCAGCATCAATAATGGCACTGGATGTGTGCAGGACATTCTGGTCTTGTTTTATTGGACCAATCGACATACTCAGAGAGGTGAAAATGGAACTGATCGAAATGAATGGCTGGCATTGAAATTGGAAAATGAGTTCCTGGCGGCTTTTCTTTTCTTTCGAGAAGAAGATTAATCCTCATTATTTTAGAGGACTCAGGAGGAAATGTAAGAAATGAAGTAGTTAGGAGGGTAAAATATCCATGGTTATCAAACTTATCCCAACAGAGAGTGAGATCTTGGGCTCGGACTAGGCGGTTTCTCCCAACACTCCTCAGCTCTATATTCAAAAACATGACGAAGAAGTTGTCATACTTAGGAAATAGGACCACCCGACTGCTGGTCTGGGTAGATCCTGTAACACCTCCACGACTGCTCTACGGGGAGAGTCAATGCTCACGCGGTAAGAAAATAACCGCAGTCTCAGAAAACGTGGGCATGTTATCAATGCCTGGCACATTGATCTCGAACCTTGTCAAATCACGACGTCAATCTCGGCAAGTGTAAATCTTTTGCTGCGTGCTTGACTTTTTCGAAGGCCGAGACCATGATAATTTTCACTTTTCCGCTAGCAGGCCAGGATGAGCTTCATTTAATTCGCCATCACTTCTTCTCAAATCACACAATAGTGTAACGGTCGTTATTGAAGGAAAGAAATGTTCTGTCGATTTCGGTTTGCAAAGAGTAACCCGACGGGTGTGAGGAATATGGCCAACTTCATCCAAAAATTGACCCCTTTAGCACAATGGTTCAATCAACGCTCCCACAATAAGGGGATCTGCTGGTGAGCCTTTTCATATGCCACCACCTTGGCGCCTCTGACCACTAAGTGGGGTAAAGGGAGACATGCGTCCGGTGAAGGCATACCCAGAAATTACTACTCTCTGTGTAAAACAACGTCCAAGCTCATTTTCATTTAGCAATCACAAATATATCCCTTCACGCCAAAAACGTAGCTAAGCAACAAAACCGTGAAAGGACCATTTATGCAATCGTAAAGTAGAAAATCCGTGTGCAGTCAGGTGTTTCTGGAATGTTCCCCAGTTGGTCCATCTTCCAGTATGGCTACACTAGCCTCGAGTTCACGGATGAAAACAATGCAGTTTGTGGGGAAACTATTCGGTCAAAAGGCTATTCTGGCCACGTAAAGTATCAGTGCCCGAGAAACCGTCAGCTATTACTCGTGGAAATTGCAACAAAGCAGTTCCTCAGGATCATGAGTGTGCCGAAGGGAAAGAATTCAGCCTTTGATTTGGCTTTCTGCTGCAACGGCGGAAACCCGTCAATCAAGCCAATAAGGCTACGAAAGGAGAGATTCCTCAAGAGCCACGGGTAAATAAATGCCGACGCCATAGCTATTCAAGCGGGTAAAATTTGAAAACCCTAAGAAAATTAGTTAAGGTTAATGAGAAAGATCTAATGCCAAGGATATCACTAGGCCCAAGTGAGCAAAGACAGTGTGCTTGAATACATACGATTCAGTTGCCCTTCGACAGTTTCAAGTATCATTCAATAACCCTATTCCCAATCGTTACTGGAAGAATACAAGAACATCAAAAGTTGGGTTCAACGATTTATCATACAACAATAGACTAGTCCGAATTAAGTAGACATAAACTGTGGAAGAAACCCAAGCAAGAAAACTTAAGAGAGGAGAGTTGTGCTAAACAACTCAAAACTGACATCCAATGTAAGGACAGGGTATGCTTTCATTGAAGAGATTAACTACATGATAAAAGCATTTCATAGTTCTCAACCTAACAAATGAGAGAAGGATTGCAAAATCATGCTTTTTAGATCATGAACTGGAAACGAAAGACAAGAACCAGCAGACAAAGGAGAAATGGGCAAAGAGAATGGTAGAGAAGGAAACAAAATGCAATAATTTCTGGGGAAATCCCATTCAAGGGCGGTTTTAGAGGAGAAGCGCTTGGGAGCGTCCCCACAATCCTCTTCTTCTTCGAACCATAAAGCGGGCCTCCGTACACCGCGGAGCAGTTGAATTCTGCCCCAACAATGCGAGTAATATTATAGCCTCAACAGCGTAGACATGTTGAACGATTCGATTTCAATTTCAGTGGCCAAGGGTCACCCACCGTCAATGACAGTCTAGACTTGGCCTATAGGCTGTACCTTTACAGGATGGTACTTAACATTTCATAATGTAAACATAAAAGTATAGGTATCAGAAACCATTCCAAACAATCCCACAAATAAAATGAGGGTCGATAAGAACTTGTAATGTCTTTTTCATATCAAAAGTTTCAGAGATAGCAATGGCAGCACGCTGCTGTTCAGACGTTTTCTAGAAACATTCATTTGATGGTCAACACCCTAAATAAAGGGTTGACATTTAAATGACAACCTCAGTGGTCAGACAAATAAAAGCCCTAGGAGAACAGCGGAGTTTTTAAGTCCCTGATTTCCAGTCAGGATGGGCACATCTTCCCTTTGATCAAACCGAAAGGAAGGATCAGAAACACAAAGCCTGCAAGCAAGCTGGAAAAGCAAACGTCCCAGTAATCATGATAGCTTCCTGGATTCCGCCCATGAGTGTCCCACGCCAAATTTATCTTGGGACTCGTCAATAGGGCGAGAATATGCTGGAGGACTGATGGGAGTTGCGCCTTTAGCCCCACTTTCATCCGAGCACCCTACCATCCCAACGTTCGACCATCCTACTCACGATGAATGGGATTGATTCAAAATGTGTGCAGCATCGAAACCTGGAGTACCGCTGGGGCTAAGCTAGCAGAGAGTATGCTGGTACTGGCTTCTTGGCATCGTTAAATATGACGGGACAAGGAATAGGAGGTTGATATTTTCCATAACCAGGTATCTTGTAGCGCTCCCAGGGAGATTTGTGTAGAATGTTTCTGAGTGCATCCTCCCAATCTCGACATTGAATCCCCTCTTGACATCACGTTCTCTTGAATATTTTTCTCTCACGCATTTCGCAACGGGAACATAAAACAGATCTGGGTTATACATGGTTTGCAGCGTGGAAAAGGGCGTACAAGAAGTAGTTAACAGGATTCACTTAGCATAGTCATCGTATATCAAGGAATTTAACGTTTCGATTGAGTCCTAGTCAAGTTCCTGGGACTCCTGGTCGGTGTACCTTTACACCTCAAAAAAGGCATTCATCAGAATATGATGGTCAAGTACTGCTGAAAGCATTTCCAGAGGAGATGGATGCCAAGATATGTTCAAATTAGGTTTAAACACAACACAGGTTGTTCTCACCTACAAACAACCCAGCAGAATATTTCTGATTGGCGGATATTTAAGCTTAATTCTCCCTGAAAACTCTCTAACAAAGTATGCCCTGCTCATGGTTGATACGCGAAAAAAGCATTTGATTTTTCGCATATCAACCTCGGAAGATATAAACGTGGATTATACAGAGTCGGGGTTTTTCAATGTTGTGACAGAAGGATTCGACACAATATGATAATTGACGTCATAATCTTTTCAGCTGGAAAACTAGAAATGCAATTTATCAGAAGATTTACTGGTAGTTTCATTTGTAAATGCGTTGTCCATAGGTACAGAAGTTGCTGTAAACTTCACATGTGGATGCCCGTGTCAGGTAGCAAGAAAAAAAAAAATTCGAAATATCAACAGACCTTGGATCCATTTGTGCTCCGTCTCTGTAAAAAAGAAAGCCCATAGCCTAAAATTAACGCCCTCTGCTGAAGGAACAATACTCTTTTCCAAGTTGCACATGAAAATTGCCAATCCATTATATGAAAATTCGTAAAAAACACAAAAAAATCTGGGTGACCATCATTGCCTTCTTCCCCCACCACTAAATTCCGGGTCTTGCTTCCATGTATCATCGTTCCATTGCTGCTTACGCCTGTCCTGCTCAAGAGGAGCTCTTACTGGTTCCCAAGAGTAGGCGCCTTGCTCA